CCTGCTGAAGAGCTTGACAGTTCAAAGTACTGAGCACCTCCTCTAATTCTACATCATCAGTTCACAGCTGTACTAAAGAGGAATGGAAGGCCTATGCATTCCAGCAAGTGCTCTGCAAAACATTCTGGCAAATGACCAGCAATTTCATATGCTACTGCTTTTACTCCTAAGGAGCACTGTCACTATGATTACGCAAAAGATGATCTGATATTTCTTCTGTTTACATCTCCTACGTACCTGATATGATTCATTTCTGTTCTGCTGGTTTCCTTTAATCTATTCACAATACTCAATGGCAGTTTTTGCTTCTGCCAACTTTCCAGATCCTTCTTATCACACACCAAAAGCAGTTCTGAATTTTTCCCCACTGGTGTAAATGGATGCACAACAGTATAGCCTAAAAACCAAGAACAATAATCATTAAAGAAGATGAATTCTGACCATTCTTCCTGAAACAACTCTTTCTATGTTTTTAATCATACCACCTTAAAGAATACTTTGTCAGTATTATGTTATTCTAAGAATACAGAATGCTGGAACACGGGTACAATCACAGAAGATGATCAGGTGGCCAGAGCACCTCCCATACAAGAACAGGCTGAGATCTGGAGTTGTTCAGCCTGGAGAAGAGATAGCTCCAGGGAGACCTTAGAGCAGCTTTCATCTTCTAAAAGGGGCCTTCAAGAAAGCGGGAGAGGGACTTCTGACAAGGGCATGTAGTGGTAGGACAAGGGGGAATGGCCTAAACTGAAAGAGGGAAGATTTACATTAGACATTAGGAAAAAATTCTTTCCTGTGAATGAGACATTGGATCACGTTGCCCATGTTGAGGATCAAAGTGTTCACTGCCAGATCAGATGCAGCTTTGAGCCACCTGCCTGGTCTAGCAGGGGCCCTCAGATACATGCTGCCGAGACCTTTCCAACTCAAGCTAAGTAATTTTAAAACAAGAAGAGCAGGGAACACAGAATATATACTGTGTGGGGCAAAGCATACAGAAAATGCACAAGAATCACAGTGCTTCTGATCACAAACTGCTCTGTGAAACAGTACTTACAGAGTAACATGAAAGAAACATCTGAGAAATTTCATGGCTAAGGGAGAAAACCATCTGCAGTCTGTGCTGGACTTTTTTTTAAACAATTTCTTTGTTTTCCTTACGTCCTGGCAAGCTTGCAATGGAACTTACCTCCAATTCAAACTGAAAGTTAAGGTTATTTACATGCTCCTGAACCTGTACATAGCTCTTTACACACAGGCCAGAAGTCAGTAAGTTTGAATAGAGATTCATAAGGTTTGAGACCAAAAGTTGAGAGATTATGACACGCACATACGTATGCATGATCAGGAACCAAGATACCTAAGTTTTATTATCTGCTTTACTTGTGAGACTGTAGCAAATCTCATTAGCTGAGGCTATCAACAATGACAATTCCTTCCCACTCCCTCCACCTCCAGCTTTTCTTCTTTTTTCAGGTAATAATTGGGGTTTTTTTTTTTAGTCTAAAGCAGACTGTATTGCAGCCTTTTATGAAGTTATAGTCCATATAATTTTTCATGTGAGAAATTTATGGATCAAGCTCAAAATTAAAACAGTAAGAGCTCTATTTTCTAATTCTACTTACTGTCAAAATTGAACCCCAAGAAATTGCTGGTGTGACAGGATATTAACATTCCAGAGAACTGGATGTACACTCATTTTAAAATATTCTGTATTGACAGCCTAATCACTTTATCAGCAATACTTCCACCACAAATACTTAAAACCATGACTGGATACTTTGGTAACTTCCAAACATCAATATTGACTGAAAAAACTCTCAAAGAGAACAGTGTGCCTCTGACGTATCCTTTATTGAGCTTTCCCTCACTACCAGAAACCAACATCGTGCAGATTTAACTAGTGCAAGATCATTAACAGAAATCCTAAGAAAATTAAAAAATAAAGTTAACACTTCATCACCAATTACCACTCCATATTTTAAAATAGTTTCTTATCTGATTTTGCAGAATCCTATATTCTGACTGTACCAATACCCTTTTGTAGATCAAACATTCCTAAGAGAGTACACCAAAGAGAAAATACTTTAAGCACTACATAACCCACCCACTCCATAACCTCTTCCCACCTCCTTCTAAGAGTTCAGCTGTTGGTATTCTGAGAATCCAGGGCTCAGCTCTGATGCAGCCCAGCTGTGTAACCTTGGCTTATGCTTCAGGGGAAACTGCTAAACTATAAGAAGCAGCTGGGAGAAACTCTGTAGGGTACAGCCATACAAGTTAATAAAGGTGAAACTGCAGTGCCAGGCTTGTTGAGAAAAGGGACTGTTAATAACTCAAGAATTCAAAAGAAAAAACAATCCTAAAGTGGAGGAGGAAAGGGAAGCTGCAAGACAACCACTCAGTACTACTGAAGGTGCACTGGAACACTGCAGCAACAGAAGCTGAACCTTCCTCCTCAGACAGATGACTGTCTAGAGAACAGAGACTCTTCAGGTGTCTTACCAAGAGTGATGAGCATATTCATATATAGCCTGTAGTTCATTACATCCCAGATGTCTTGTGGGTTTGCCAAGAAATCACTGAATTTTTCACTTGAGACTATCCTGTTGGCAGAGTCTCTTCCCGCGTGCGAAGTGACTCAGCGTGACCCAAACAGAGATACTAACAGTTACTGTGCTCTGCCAAAGCTCCTATTAAGTGAATTATTGTCACTAAACTTGTCAACAAAAAAAGCCCCAGATCTAGAATAACTTTAAAGCTAGAAACAAATCCAAAAGAAAAGGTTGAAGAAAGAGGAATACTCACAAACAAAAATCATTTGCTAGCATATGGATCGGATGAAAAGATAGTTTTATTCTTCCTGTTGCCTATGCAAGTTGCTAAGTTTGCAGTTATGTTACAGCACTGACTAATCCTGTCTGTGGGGGACAGCTGCCCACTACAACAAATCCATGTCAAACTAAAAAAGAAAAATACCAACTTTGTGATATACTTTCTCTCATTTATCTCTGTGACACAGCTATTAGCTGAAGGGGGAGGGTACCTGCAGCATTAGCTGCTGCCTCACTGTGAAGATCCAGTACTCATTGGGAATCTATTAGAAACTGGATTTCAGAGCACAGTCCAATCACAGTCTATTTAGAACAACACTATTGTAAAAATACTGCACTGTGGCCAACATGACTTCATTTCCTTTACTAATTCCAGTTGTTTCCTTCCTGCCAACACCATCAGAGGATCTAGTTCATAGTAAGATGCCCAAGGTTGTGTATGGCTAACCTAGCAGGTTATTTTGGTCTTTTGTTCAAAACAATAAATTGTGTATGAAATACTTTTACTGACTTAAGTTTATTACTCATTTACTCTAAACAAACTCACCCTGGGCCTGTTTTTTGGGGAGAGATATGTGAAGTACTCCAAGAAGAAAATTGATGAGTTCTGGTACAAATCTTCTGGAGAGAGATACATATTCCAGGAACAAACAGCATATAAATAGCCCTTTAATAACATCTTGCAATGTTGTGATGCGACACTAAAAGAGAAATAAAAAAAAGGCACAAAATATTTGTCATAAGAAGTCTATCCATCATCAATACAGAATCTCCCAAAAAGTAGAAATATTAAACAAGCTGTACACATTTAAAATATGTAAAATTACACCCTTTGGACTTAAATGAAAAGTATATCAGCTTTCCCTTGCCCTCACAAAGAGTATATGCAGAACCTGAGTAAGAAGTCCGTCAGAACTGGTTTAGCCACTAGAAGGTGCTAAACAACAAACAATAAGTTCTTCAGAAATGAACCAAGAAAATGCAAGGCTCAGAGCAATGTGGATTTCTGACAGCAATAGAATAACTAGCTCAGAACTTTTGAAACATACAAACAGGGTATATGGACAGAAAAATAGGAACATATTCCAACTGCACTGCAATGCACTTAGGTGAATTTTCAAGGAAAACAAACCGCCAATTTTTAAGTATCTTTCTGAAGCAGAAACAAATGCAATATACGGAAGAGAAACTACTAATGAATGATTTCAGACTGTATTCAGCCTGTTCTATTAGTCCTGTATAATTTGCCATATAAGGAATTCTGTGTGACAGCTTGAAAAACTGATTAGATATGGTTTTGTGAGTTGGGCTTTCCTCTGCAAGGGGTTTTCCCTCTTCCCTTTTTCTTCCAATTACTATCTGTGACTGCACAAAACACAAAGCTGCCTTTTCAGTACATATCCAATATATACATTAATGCTAACACTGTATTTGGAGTCCTAGGAAGAAACAAGGAAATGAAGTTATATACTGAGATGCAACATCACAGACATACCTTGGTAAGTAGCTGACTCATGTACATAAAAGCAGGTGTTACAATTGGATGCCAGAAGTCAGAAGTTGGAAACAGCAGAGATGTAATTTTCAAATAAATAAGCTGAGAATACACAAAACAGGCAAAATACAGTTAAGGACATTATTCCCAGGATCTTGACTTTCCAAATATGTAACGGATGAATGAGTAACTGCTACATAGTAGTCTAAAAATACTACAATATACATAATTTTGAGAAATCTGATACAAGACTTATTTATTGAGATGACTGTTTAAGTTACATGAGAAAATGGAATATCCGTTATAGGTCTAACATTGCAATAATTCAACAAGGCAGCTGAAAGAACAGCTAAGAAGGAACTACGCCTCCAAACCCCATTCACTTCATGAGAAGATCTGACTTCCTTCAGCCCACGACCATCTCACTCTCACACCACAAACACATGAGCAAGTGGCCTGAAAATTATCTAAGTGGATATTTACATAGTAAACTAGACACAAGGCAAGTTTTATTGTTTCAGCTCTGTTTCTCTCCACAAAGTTTGTTGTAAACAAATACTCTACTGAACTATTTTGGTTACCAAATACCACAGTCCACATTTCAGGTTAGATTAACAGCCGGCACATACACCTACTAACACAGCTGGTCTAAGGAACATTCATTCAAACAAGTGCATTGAGAATAGGAGAGTGATATAATTCTACCCTAGAAGATAATGATGGCTTGAAACCTGGAGAAGTCCACTGAAGGGAATGAAAATCAGAAGTGTGATTGGTGGCATAAAGGTGACAGCGGCAAAATAAAAATAGAAGTTAAAATGTCACTACAACACATTTCCTGTAAATCCAAAAAATTCCTGAACAAAGACTCTTCAAAAGAACTCAACATAAACATTTTCCAAGCTGCAAGAATCAAGTCTTCTAAGAAAATCCTTCAGTCTTATTTTCTTTCATTAGTCTAATTCTTGCATTAGGCACCACTGCTTTATCAAGCTGGAACACAAGACAAGTACCTCCCTTTGGATTACTAACTTACAGTTTGTCTTTGAAACTTTTTAGAACAATAAACAAGCACTCATTTTCCATATGCTCCATTCTGTAATTCCCTAACAGCCATTTACAGAGATACTGAAAAAGGAGTCTGTTTCACACTTAGCACGACCGCTGAATTTTGGAATACAAACCAATATAAAAAAAGAAAGGTCAAATCTCTCCGAGTTATTGATTTAGCAATTATCATATAAAAAAATGCTAAGAAATGTTGTATTTTTATACTTACAATATATCTTGTTATATTTATTAACCTAGGAGATAATGCACTTCTATACAGCACTTATTTGGACTTAACACAAATTAAAGAAATCAAGACATTACTGACAATATCACTTTTTCCTATAACTACCCATTTGAGTTTCATCAGGAAAACAAAGAATGTTCTGCTATGAATACTGGAGTGGCAATTTTAAGATATCTTTCCCTTCATAATATTAGAGCCACACTTGTATTCTGAAGAATGTGTGTGTGGTGGTTGGTTTGTTTCTTAGGTTTTCTTTGTTGTTGTTGTGTTTGTTACAACTTATCTCCAGCAAGGCCATTAAAAATATAGAGAGAAACCTAAAAAGTCATAGATGCTAATAATTCATTATATACACTGAAATATAGAATTCAATTTAATGTCTTCTCACATTTACTGGCATTTCTGTACTAATGGAAAGAACAAGAGCTTTTCCTAGCAGTATGCATTTGTTACCGTGTCCAAGCCTGGAAATGTTGCACGGCCTTTGACTTCAATTACTTCTTCCATATCATGTGCAGCATCTCGAAGGATAAACTTAATACTGTCACTGGCTGCCTCAGGAAACATCTGGCAAAGATTGTACAATGGCCTAGTAACAAGAAATGTAAGTCATAATCAAGCTACACCATTGATGTTAATTAAAATCTCATTTTCAAGCACCTGTAGGAAGACTTCTTGTGTTCCATCTACATTATAACAATAAGAAACTCCCTGAAATTATTCTTTTTTAGAAAGGTCCCTTCCAACCCATTCTAGGATTCTACAGTTATTATTGTAATACTTTTAATTTACAGACACACGTATTTTTCATTGGGCCTTGTGAGATAATCTTTGATTTGTTGGTTTCTAAATCTTAAATAAAAAAAACAATTAAGAACATTAAAATACATTCCCAAATCATCTGCGATGGTTAAAACATATGCTTCTGCATCTCCTAAGTCTACATTTTGTTGCACTTATTTATGCTGGCACATATTAGGCAGCCATTACTCTAAATACTCTGAAGCCATGTCAAACAACATGCGAGGCAGCAATGCGGTTAGCAAAATTGTTACTTAAAACGAGCAAAAATCCCCACAAAGTTAGGTCAGCTCCTGGCTTATGGTTAGTGCCTACAGGGAGATGCAGTCAGGAGGCTGCATTTGTTTGGTTAGTTTTTCCAGTATTTTCAGTTAAAAATGTCTGTAGTGATATTAATAAATCCCAGTTCTAGAAAACAATCAAAACGCGTTTAGTTTTTCACACGGCTGCAGCATGTGTGACAGTATCAATGGGTCAATGCTCCTGCTGACGAATGCAACACAGCAATGAATGTGAAAGCTCCACATAACACGTTTTTAAGAACTTGTTTACTTCAGCATAAAATATAAATCATATGCTGAAAACTACATATAAATAACTCACTGAAAGAAAGCTGATTAGCCTGCAAAGGCAAGACAGGAATCACAGACTAATTTTGATCGGAAGGTACCTCTGGAGATCATTCTATGCAACTCCCTACTCAAACCATGGCTAACGTCAAAGCTGGATCAGGTTGCTCACGGCTTTGTTGAGTTTTGTGTATCTTCAAGGGTGGAGATTCCACAGCCTCTCTGGGAAACTTGTTTTAATATTCAGCACTTTTGCTGTGGCGATTTTTTCCTTATATCTAATTGGAATCTCCCTTATTGCAGCCTGTGCCCAATGACTCTTGTCCTTTGTTACAACTCAAGACAAATTTGACTCTCTTGTCACTGTAAGTGCCTGTAAGGTATTTGAAGACAACAATGCCAAACTGAAAACCTCCTGCAAAGTGTTTACTTGGAACTTTTGTATTAGCTTACTGTAATACTCTAATTACATTTTCATCTAGTTCCCCCAGTGAATTCACAGAACAGAAACCAATGGCAAAACCAAAGATTGCAAAGGGAACTGCGCACTACCACTGCAAAGCCCAAAACCCTTAATCAGCAGACCAACTTCATGCACAGAAGCTTGCTTGCATACATACATGGTATTCTTTATCCACTCTCTATGAAAAGCATTTTGCACATCAAAAATTACATTCTGAGGTTTTGAACATGTCTTGGTACAATTAATAGCTCAAGCAATACATGAAACAAAGTTAAAATGCTTTGTTTCTGGAGAGTTACCAGTTGCCTACAATCCCTATGGAACTACCCAAACCAAACAACATGGTAAATGCTTTGTCCTGTGTAGCTTTTCTATTCAAATCATAAAGGAGCAGAAGTCAAAAGGATTTATTACTTACAGGACCAGTTTGTCAATAGTTCTGAGCTCTGGCACATCCAGACTTGCTAACTCCCCAATATACTCCAAAAGGAAGCCAAACAATTTCTGCAAGAAGCATAATAGGTTAAAATTATTAGTTTTTTCTTCATTGTACATATTCTTAAAGAGCACAAAAGAACAGTGATAAAGAAGTTAGAAAATGAAGAGTAGTATGTTGATTCTAATGCTATTCATAACACATAAGCATGTATGTTTTATTCTGCTTCCTGAATATTTACTAAACTTACTCTGGAATTCAAAGTTAATTTTTCAGTTTAAAACAAAACATAACAAACCCCCATACTTCCAACTTTGCTTTGTTTCCCACTGCAAGGCTTGGATGATTGCATTTCTGAATTCTCTCCAGTATTATAAGCTGTTGTTCTATTGTTCTTCCAGCCAATAAAGACTTAAATGTCTCATAGGACTCAGGAACTAGAAAGTAAAAACAAAAATTGACCAGGGAAAAATATCAAACTTAACATACTGAATTCAACAACTAACAGATTTCCAACTTTAAAAAGTCATTATTCAGAAAAGATACCATGCAGCTTTTAAACAACCCCTTTTAAACACTAATAAGCTATCAACATATATGTAACATTATATACATGAACTTCAGTAAACAAATAATGTAAATGTTTTTCAATGAGTAACATTCTATTCATCCTTGAAATTTAAAGGAAAATTTACCATAATACATTACATCTATGTTTTAATCCACACCTAACTACTTTTTGTAGGCAGGATATTAAAAGAAACTTACCACTATTTAAACAAACAACCCCAACAAAACCCCAACCAAACACAGCTCCCCCCCATCCCCCCCAAAAAAATAGCCCAACAAACCAAACCAACCCTGGCATATATTTAGTCCTTTGCAGAAGTCCACATGCTACAAAACATCCTAACTGGCTCAGGTTTTTGAGTTAATTTTAACCCAAAAATTAACTCCATTAATTTTAAAGTTAAAGCCAAATCTGAATGCAATTTAAATGGCTTTGTGTAATAAGTTATCTCTTTCTGATGGAAAAATGCAATTCAGGAAGTTGTTTGAAAGGTTGTTTAATCTTGCAACAGATACTTTTGTTAGAGAGATCTACACTAGAACAATAGTTGGATGCACTATGTACTTAATATTAATGGATGTTTTGTGTACTACTTGATATGTGCCTCCTCCTTCCTCCTAAGCACAGACCCAAAAGGAGGCAGACTCTGAGTGTCTCTACGACTGTTATGTTACATCACAGAGATGACACCTCAGAATCCTGCTTCTCCCAAGCATCTTCTCCGACAAAAATATCAGTTCAAACACCAGAGAAAGTAACCTTTTCTCATTTAAGTATAGATAATAGAACACTATTCTGGCTTCTCTTATACAGACCACTAGCAACTTTGGTTTGGATGTGTTCATAAAGGAGTACAGATCTTTGAATTTTTCTCCCCAATATTTATTTTTCAATTCTAAGGCTGCCTGGAGGAGCAGAAACAGCACTGGGATGAAGCAGATCTGGTTCCCACTGCTCAAAGCATAACTAGGGCTGATCACTAAGTAACAGCTGCTGGCTACACTTAGAATAATAGAAGACAACTGGTAAGCAAAACTTAATGGATGAACAGGAATACCTTAAGATCCTACATGGCAGAGAAAGAGACTGTTTATAACTCCCGTAAAGACAACAGGGATCTCTGGATCAGTCCTCCTCTGCTTACCAGCAAATGTATAGGGAAGCTCTGATTCAGCAGCTTTCATTTTTGGATCTAGTTCCTCCACATTCTGTGATTCGTTTTCATCGGTCTTGTGTTTCTTCTGTTCTGTATTCCCTCCAGCTTCTTCTTCACTCTCAAGGTCAGATTCAAGATCAGAGTGGCTATCTGCAGCAACATCCTCCTCATCTTCATTAGATGCTTCCTCACTTTCTTCTTCATTCTCATTGTCTTCCTTCTCATCTTCCTCTTCTTCCTCCTCTTGTTTTTCCTCCTCCTCCTCCTCTTCATTTTCGATATTAATTTTTCCATCCTGTAAGTAGAGAAAGCAAGCCAGTGAAAACACTGATAAAGTGACAGCACCTCACCAGAATCACCATCCAAAGCTAACATCACACACACATGAACAGAATCTGAGCCTTGCTACCACTGACCAAGCACTGACAGTCAAGGTGGATTTTAAGGGGAGAACATGCATACAGATATAAGAATAGTAGGGTACTTGCAAGGGGTTGTAAGAAACTGGAAGAACAGGAGGTAGTGTATAAGGACCAGAATAATCAACATAAAAGTAAAAACTACGGACAGATGATATGAAAAACAAAAATCAACATCAATTACAGAAGCATTCTTGATTTAAAAAAAAACATATTAAATTCTATGTATTAGAATAATGTCTCAGATAAATATTTGTTCCCATCCTGATCTTATTAATCATCAGTTTCAAATCACATTCACAAATTTATCCTCCCCCTTGAGTGCGGCAGCAGTTCCCTTGCTACTTACATGTGAGAGGATCAGAGGATGAGTATGCACACACGTGCAGCAGAGTCAGGGTGACTCACTTCATCAGCTTTAAGATTTTATTGTTCTGCCACCTTAACCAAAGCTACCACACAGGGGAAGGGTTTTTCCAGAAACACACTCATCCTCAGGCTGAAATTTAGTGGAAGCTGTATCAAATACAGCAGTAATTAAACTTTTGGCCATCAAATATAATAAAGACATCTCTAAACTGCAGAAAGTTCAGCAGAAAGCCACCAAGATTGTTGGAGGGCTGGGGCACTGCCCTATGAGAGGCAGACCTGGGCTTAGTCTGCCTGGACCAAATAACCACCTTCCAATGCTTACATGGGAGACCATTGAGAAGGTAGAGCAACACTCTTCATCACAGTCCACAGCAGAATGAGAAGCAACAGGCTATAGTTGAAGCAAGAGATGCTCAGACTGGATATAAAGGGAAACTTTCACAGTAAGGACAGTCAGGGGAACAGGCTACCCAGAGAGGTGTGCAGCCTCCATTCTTGGAGATTTTCCAAGAACATACTAGATAAAGCCCTAAGCAAACTGGTGATTTCACAGTTAACCCTGCTTTGAGCAGGAAGGTGGACTAAAGGTCTCCACAGAGGTCATTGCCAAACTGATTTTCTTATCTTCTTTTCAGAACTGTAAATGAAATTTTAAACCTTACCTTGTAAGACAATAAATGTCTGTCATCTTTATCCAGAATAAAGCCATCAGCCAGATCATCAGCTGACACATGGCTGGGTTTCTTTTTATTCTCCTGTTCATCTATTCCACGCATTCGACGTAGTCGATCTGCCTATGTTTTAGAAGAAATACGACACACAGATGTGAGCCATCAATCATATAACTACACCAGAATGGAAGATCCCTCAAATACTACAGCTAGGAAAATCAAAGGAAAAATGTTAACTTGGATTACTAAAGAAGAGGATGAAGAGAAAAAACAGCAACTTGAGAAATTACGGGCAAAAGCTGATGATTCCTTACTTCTTTGTGGGGAGTACAATCTGATAAGAGCACAGAGTTAATTGTATTATCTTACGTGGAAGGCTTTAAAACTGGGTTTACCAGAAGCATTATGTTCTCTCACTCTACAATTTACCTGTTTTGCTTATGAGACAATGCATCAATACTAGAAAATGTAAGCTTCTAAAGTGTTCTATGATTCTTCAGTGTTTATCTGTGTTTCCCATATGTGTAACAAGTTTGTAGTAACCACAACCACATCCTAAGATTTTTAAGATACGCTAAGTTTTAAATAGACTCAATGGGCAACATCTGAAGCACAGACAGACTGTACATCACACAAGATGACAAGAAGAGAAAAGAAAAATAAATCCTGCTTTCTGTTCTGCTATTAGGTACTGAGCTGTTCTGAGGTAACCTGAAGGTACTGGATCCCTGCGGTTCTCAATGTGTCCCAATAAAAAGTAAAAATAGAAGAGAAACATTTATCAATTTATTCAACCTTTCCTTAAGATCTGGAGCTCCATGTAACAGAAGAAGCATGCAACATCTCCCAGGAGAAGCCTATTCCTCTGCAAAGCAAAGCTATATACATGCTACTGCTGGAAGATTCTTGCAACACCAGAAAACAATGACTTGCCAGTGCAGCAATTCAACTGCTGTACATGATACTCCCTTTACTGACTTAGAAGCACCTCTCAACTTTGAATAATTTAAAACATTTAAAGGCAAACTGAAGAAAGATCAACTCATGCCATAAACCTCAATAGTCATGTACTAAGCCTATGTTTTTTTGTTGTAGTATCAGATTGCAACCAAAACACAAACAAAAGATTTACTGAATTCACCCTCTGACAAACTGCACTTTAGTATAGCCACTTTCAATGTAAGGTCAAGCAATGAATATAAGTGGTCACTCCCAAAAGACAGGCCACAAAACAATCTAAAACCATAACTGGTGTACCTCCAGCTTCTGGAGTCGTGCCTGCTCCTCCTTTGCCAATTCTTCTTCTGTCTTCATCCTTTCTGAAGGTTTTGCTTTCATCTCGAATCCAAGTTCTCGAACAATCATATCATATTCATCAGGCTAAAGGAATATTTATATAATTGTTTATTATCTTAAGTTTTATTTTTCTGCTCTGCAGCCACCCCTCTGCCACACTAACAGCTAAGAAAAGACCATTTCCAAAGAAAGCTGCAAGAACATTCAACTCCACAGTATAAAAACAAGAAATGGAATGAACGCTTGAATGGAAATTCTCCTGGAATTTCCCCTTCCCTATTTAAGCTACAACAGAAAAGCAATAATATCCTTAAATAAAAATTGGTTAAGTTATTAATTGAAAAACTTTAAAATCTTGTTCATTAATAAAATACTATTTCTCAAAAGGCAGCTAGAATTAATAAATTTGTAGCTTATGTTTCACTTTATACTGTCAGACATGAGCTAAGCCTTTGCTATCTTAGTTACACAGGTGTCTATCTTAAGGAAAACAAAAAGGGATTCTGATATTAAGGTTTTTTTCTAATTGGGAAAACAGTCACTAGCAGAGATTACCCTGGACCTGTGAATAGAGAATTCTTAATACCTGCTTAAGTCACTAAACCTCGCAGCTTCTCTAAAATTCAGTTCTAGGAATTCTTCTTCTTACACACAACTAAATAATTTTCTCCAATTCAACATTAATGTTATAATATAATTCACACTTTGCATCCTTGATAATCCCTAAACTGGATCCACACACATGAAAGAATCTTATCTTCCTTTTCAGCAAATTATGAAGACAAAGTCTTTGTCTAGACAGCACATCACCAACATATTAAGAGTATTTAGCATGTTACGAAACATCTTAAAACCGAAAATCAATACGTCAAAATATCAGCTTTTGATCCAGTATCTTCTAATCATTATTTGAGATCAGCTTTAACGTAAGATCAGTTCATTAGTTTGATCTTTCAAAAGCTGAATTCTATTGTCAAAGAATAAATGGAAATGTACAAATGTTCTGCAATATAACTCAAAATTTCCACAAGAAAAAAGAAAGTAAAATTGTGCAACCCATTACAACACCTATGCTTAGATTTAGAAGTTAATTTCCCTTAGTATAAAATACCAGTGATAGAAAAAGCTTTGAGACCATAAGGTATCCATTTCAAAGTGAAATTTTTTTGTTCCCTTTTAGCAGATACAGCACCCAATTTACAACAAGGAAATGTCTGTTGCCAAATACAAGATGTTTTATCCAAGGAACACTGCAAAGGCATTCAAACTAAGTCAACATTCTCAGCAAGTTTTGTTCTTCAAGAAAATGTTTTGCTGTACAAATAAGCTGTAGCCAACCCTGCTGTTCAACCTGCAACCTCTAACTAATAAAAGCAATAGGTAGTTAAAATCAGATGAAATAGATAAACCCCTATATTTCTCCAACTAACCAGCCTGTCCTAAAACTGTAGCACTCCTTCAATGTGAATTGCAGGCAACATTTTAATTTACAAAGTGATAAACAGCCTTGTACTTCAGCCACTGTGAGGCAAAACCACATGTTATTAGAATAAAAGAAAACAGTCAAACCAAAACCTTACCTTGGGTTTTTCTACTTCTTTGTCCTTTCTCTCTGACTTTGGAGTTTTGCGAGCAATAAGGGTTTGGATTTCCTTCCAGTCTTTGTCAAGCTTTTCTGTGAGTTCTAATGCATTTTCTCTCCGAGTTTGTCTCTCTTGCTAGGAAAAAAAAAAGCCAAACCAAATGCACCAGTTATGTCCAGATGGACATGACATGGTATCTGCAGTGTAAAACCAAAATGCTGTCTTTAGCAAATGAATAATTGTAAATATTTAACATTTATCTAAAGGTGTAAACATTCATTGTGAAAGATGCAGCACAGAGTTACACTGAATGGTACAATGGTTGCTACAGCAAGGAAGGGGAGATTTGGAGATACAAAAGAATGGCAGATATTCAACACTTATCTTAAAACACCTACAAAGTTAGAATGACTTTATTCAAGGACCTTGGACTCTTCTAGACACCCATCTCCTTTGTTTTCTATGCCACTACTATACAAAAAACAAATTGTGACAGCTTCTTAATCATGCTCATTCAGGGCTAAAAACTCACCTTTTCTTGCTTAGACTTGGCTATCATCTCTTCTATGAGTTCCTTCCTAGATTTAGGTTTCTCCTCCTCTTCATCTTGCTGCCCACTTGGTGCTTTTTTACGAAGGAGGCCTCCACCCCCTCCAAAGTGAGCAGCAGTTAATTCAGCTAGGAAAAAAAGCAAACCACAGGAGATTGTGAATCCTTTTCAAATCCAAACATGAGCACTGCAGTGTTGCTGGGACAGTATCTCCCTATTCCTTGAGAACGGGAGCAATTAAAACTATTGCATCAATAATGTACTACTCCCATCCCTACGGATGCTAGACACATAATTTACACTGAAAACATTTTGTACGAGATAGGCATATGGAGTTTTTCTCAGTATTTTTACTAGCATTTAGGTACAGAGAAGCAAGAGAGCAATCAGAGAACTTGCACGTCATATTCTGGCCAAAGGCCTTGAAATAAAGGTACTTATGTATGCTGTAAAGCCCACAGATGAAAGAAGCTAGCCAGGTAGGGAGTTGCAACTTAACATCTGCTAAAATCCAAACAGCTGTTCTGTGTGGGATTAAAAAGGAGTCAAATCTGTCTTATACATCCAAACCAACTATGTAATATTCTTTCTCACTGAAAGACAGTACTGAACAAATGATGTACAGGTACCGACAATAAAACCAGCACTGTCTTACCTGACAGTATTCCTCTCTCTTCTGTGTCACTGTCACTATCAACAATATCATTTAGTTTTTCAATTTCTGCCAAAGACTGGCCATAATGAGTCAGTTCCTCATCTTCATTAAGATTATAGATACTCTTCTTTCCGTAATTTTGCTAAGAATAGTAAAACAAACCAATTAAATAACAAAAGATTTTTAGTTCCCAGGCAACAAAACAAGAAAGCCTGTATTTTTATGCTAATTGAAGAGATTCTTATTCCCATGTTCTGCTGGAACACCACCAGACCAATAATTTCATTTCAAGTATATGAAAACTTAAAGAGAGGGAGTACGATGTCTCACTCTATTCGTACATTGGTATAAGAAACTCAGAAAACCTAAGGAAGCTTATTCATATATCAGTAACAAATTCTTAATTACTGTTTCAGGCCTACTGAAACAGACTTTAACCTACATAAATTATCTGTAGAATAAGACATTACACTGCTCAATTCAAGAGACTAACTATAATGAGGCAGAAAGAACACTACTGCACATACAATTCACATTACAGAATGACACCAAGAGTCCTAGTCAGCAAATGAAATGGCTGCTGTTCAACAGCTGTACTGAAATCTCAATGTGTACTTGACGGTAGTTGCACTTTCTCAATTCAATTCCCAAATGACAGTAACCAAAGCAGTCAAAGAAATCCAAGCAATCAATGAATCTGCTTGAACTTGGCTTTCTTGCCTATCAGTGCTCAGAGAAGTTTCTGCTTCGAGAAACTGTTCTGTAAAACCAAAAAGTTTTCATGAAAAATTTGGTTCCCACAAAAAAATGCTTTTTCATAAAAGTTTCAAACACGTAAAGTAATAAGAAAGTATCACCCCACAGCCCACCCTTTTAAGGGGGATGCACCCAACCTAAGTAGTGAAGTGTTTCTTGTGGTTTTGATTTGTTGTTCCTTTTAATTCCTGTACTTTACCTGTCTTTCCAAAGTGAACCGTCTGATCATCTTTTCCTCTGGACTTATTTTGGTGTTATATTCACCAAAACGTTTATCTTTAAACACATTTGTCTTTTCCCTTTCTTTATATTCTTTCAGTAACGTTTGGGTACGCTAGAAGGAAAAAAAAATTAAAAAGGGAGATTTAAAAAAAAGGAGATCAAGTTAAAAGACAGAGAGAATAATTACTTTCAAAGCCAGGGCAAAAAAGGCTCCATGTTATCCTGGCAACAATCTAATTTATAAGAATGCAATGAAAGAGAAGAAAAAAAAAATAATGAGAAAAGAAAGGAGAGGGGAAGCTCATACAACATATTCAGAATCATTAAATTATCCTCTAAGCTGCCCATATGAAGATAAAATATGGTACACTGTATCTCACCTTTATTTTATCACATATAAAACCTCTCCATTGCCACTGAAGAATTATGATTTGTCTGAAGCTTAGCATCCAAGAATAACATATTAAAGAAAGCAAACAAGCCACAGTGTCAGCTGAATCTCTTTCAGTCTTGTCATCTAAGACTGAACCCTTACGTTTAGCTGCCTGCTTTAGTGTTGAGCACAGGCAGGTTATGCATCAAGGCAGTAAAAGGAAGTTTAGCAGACCTATATGAGGTATTATGTGCTGTACATATGGTGCAGGTAAGGAAATAGGTTTACTTTGCAATACCAGTGATCTAACTCATGACAAGCATCTAATTTATTTCTATTAAAGCTCCAAGACCTTAAAACATGATATTAAACATTCATGAAGTTCTCTAAAATCTGAACAAATAGTAATGAAGACCGAAAGCTAAATTTGTAACTTCATGCTGAAGATATTACCTAGTTTCTAAAGGAAGAAAATGCTGGCTGTGTTTAGCCTGGGAAAAAAAACACATTAACTGAACTTTACAGAAAGGTACTCTTGCTATTCACATTACCAGGAACTCACAAATTGCTGCACTAAAGAAAAAGGCTGAGTTTCCTACAACAGGCCTCTGCAGCCTCACTGAGCATTCACAACTTCCAGTTGCTGCTGTAAGTGACACCAGGACTCAGGTTCCAGCTATCACTGTGCCAGTTCTACCTGGCATTTACTTCTTGCACAGAACATATCAATTATCGTGCAGCTTAAACATTGTGCCTGAGCTTTAATATCTCTTAATACCTTGGATACAGAAAAGCACTTCTGTTTATCGTTTGATGTCCTCTCTCACCAATAAAATATTTAATGCATGCAAAAATGATAACCTATCAATTCCCATTTGCTGCACTATTTAAAAAAAAAAAAAAAAAGAGCTTCTCCTTTTACTAAGTGCTTTAAATTCTGTTCAACAACAGTTTGTATGTAACATGTCAGAGAGAATCTCAGGGGCATACTTTCAAATCATGCTTTTTCCAGCCTTAACAGAATTGACAGAGGTTTTAACTTCTTTCCTGGTTTGTCTCAAGGGACAGATCATAAAAAATTCCACTGCCCCACTCAAGGGCAGGGTAGGTTGCTGGAATCCCAGATGTGTAGTATGACACAGTGTTCTCCCTTATGCATTATAGATTTGGTCAGGTAGCTAGTGATTTCGATCACATAAAGAGGCAATTTTAAAATGGTATAAGGATGGAAGATAGAAAATTTACACAAGTTATATGATCATTCCAATGAGCAACATGGACCGATAATTATTTTGCATCCCAACATAGTTCTACAACATTATTTAACCATTGCACAAAGTCATCTGCATGTTTTCCAAATCAATGGTAGCTTCCCTGTATCTACACATTTCTCACTGCATTCAGACCTTTGCGCCCTTTCAAACTTTCACTATTACAGCACCGTTGCATCACTGTAAGAATTTTAACATCACAAAGTGACCAAACCTGACCAACATAATGAACAATGACAACCACCTGCACTCTGGTCCAGTACCTGCCTGCATACAACGCGTGCCATTGTGCTCTGGGCAATTTGAAAAGAGAAACATTCCCACACATGCCATAAGGGAGACTTCCACTACTGAACGTTGTGGAATGCACGGGAGAGAGACGTTTTCACTTGGCATTCCATCACCATCCGCACAGTGTGAGGTGACCTTCTGTGCACAACAGGCCATCTCTCAGCTGGCCTGAGATGGCTCCAGGCTTGTCACCTCTCCACCACAGCTATGTCTAGAGATGCCAACCTTCCAACCTATGATGTCCTCTTACCTTCTTGATGGCCTTGGACCGTGAGACACCAGGCAGCCCCACGTCATTCTTGGTCTTCCTCCCCAAGATGCTGAACTTCTGCCTGTTGATTTTCACCTCAAAGGGGTTACTCTTGACCATGGCCACAGCTGACTTCACAGGGCCCTTGGCTGTGGAAGGCGCTGAGACCTTTCGCTTCCGCTTAGATGCCTTCCCCATTTTTGGTGTGGCTGCTGCGGATGCGTGTGGGGAAGGACAGGCTCGGTACTCACTCACCGTGCGGGGCCAGGGCGGGAGATGCAAACAGGGCCAACAAAATGGCGCCGGGGGGGGTGTGCAAAACCCCCCTAAATACCCCTCGGGCTCGACTACTGCCCTCCGACACGGTGCTGAGACGTACGAGAGCTCCCCTAAAGCCCCGTAGGAGCCGGCGGAGGCGCGGAGAGGAGAGAGCGGATCGCGGGCAGCACTCCCCTTACACCGGCGTGCCCCGACAGCACCACACGCT